ACCAATGCTTTACTGATGAAAACCGTTCAAGGGACTCGCAACCGTGTGGAACTGGAAATACGGACATTGACTGCGGATTGGCTTCTGATACTGTGCAAACAAAAAATGATATTTTCTTTCTGTGGAAAACCATATAACAAAAAAACCGAAAGATACATATGTCGCGACGTATTAACATTTTGTTTGATCATCTCAATCGCTGACAAAGCGGGATCAGTTATGTATCTTGCTGCCATAAGGTGTTTTACAGTGGATGACCCTGGATTCCTTGTGATCACTTGATTAGCGAGCGTCGGTTGCGTCATTGACTGCATCAACCACTTTGGAATGTATTTGACCAATTGCTGTGATGATTTTCGGTGGGTTTAGTCCATATATACGTCACCGCAACTGTAGGTGAACTGGTGGCTGAATACCCTAGCAGTACCCGTCCATCAAACCCCGATGCATATGCATTGCGAGTTTGGCAGCGATCAGTGAAGTTCGATTCCCTGTATTTCGCTGTACGATGATGATGATGAGTGGAATCGACAGACAGATGGTGTTTTAAAGAAATTGAAAGAAGAGAGCTTTAGAAATATTGAATGAAACGTGGTTTGCAATGCCCCGGGAAAAGATGTGTTCAAGATCAGAGTCCAGTGATACATTAACTGCACTACAGGCACCATCGACGTTGGTTTGCCCATGACGAGTGAAGTAGGAGAGGGAGCATTGGACGGCGGCGTCATCGGCAAGAGAATGGATCGGGTTGACAGTTTGGGAAAGCGGATCATTGATAAATAGAAGAGAGTGGACGCAAGTACTGAACCTTGGAGAACACCAGCATTCACAGGGAACGGCTGAGGTAGAACCCCATCGACTCGGACGAAGATTGTTCGCTTAGTGAGGAAACTTAATATCCCCGCTCCGTGCGCTGGAGGGAACCCGAACATGGGCAGTTTCGCCAATAGACCTTCCTGTCAAACTCGGTCGAAGGCTTTTGACATGTCAAGCGAGACTAAGTGTTTCTCCGTGTTCACCGAGCGCGGCTGGCCAGGAGTGTGAGACAAAAGCAAGCAGGTCACCGGCGGAACGATTCTGACGGTCCCTCAGTAGTCCTACACATTCGAGGAACGTGCGTAGTTGGACAGAGATGGCAGTTTCAAATACTCTCGAAAGAACAGATGTAATGGAAACGGGTCGGTGATTTTTGGGGTCAGAAAGGTCGCCGCGTTTGGGAATGGGAAAAATCATGGCGTGTTTCCAACGGGTTGGGAAAGAAGAGAGTTGGAGGGAACGATTAAAAAGACTACGTGATATGGAAATCAGCTCGGGAGCACACATTTTGAGGACGATGGGTGGAATACCGTCAAGACCGGGTAGTTTGTTTGCGTTTAAATGGCGCAGTGTTTGACAAATTTTCCCAGTGTTAATGTGATGTAGAAAAGGATTACTAGTGGAGAAGGATTTATCATTATTATAGTTCACACTTGTCTGAGGATAGACTGTGTGCAAAGCAAATCATGGTACAATAATCCTTATAAAAAGAATAACGTTCCATGATTTACATGAATGGATGAATACTGCCAGGTTGCCCAGGCCGAGCCAGGTGAATTTTCTTGAGGAGTCCACAACAGGAACCTTCGGCTAGCCGAAGCCGGACCCGCAAGGCAGCAAGGTGGTGTGCATGAACACTTAGATTGTGTACTCTGTGTTGAACGCAGAGGTTCTTTTTCTTTGCCACCCTCGAAGTAGGCCCAATCCCTCTCCATCTTTTGCTTTATCATTTGATTTGTGTACATTGTGAGCTTGGCAGCGATCAGTGAAGCTCGCTTCACTTTATCGCGCTGTACGATGGTGATGATGAAGGTGGTGTGAAACCGCAGTCCATTGGGAGCCGGTGTCCAGTTCATCGGATCCTATGCCCTTCGGACGGGGTCAAACGTCCAGGGTGCCCAATACACCTCAGTACCCAATTGAGCGGGTGACCACTGTCACAACCGAAAAGGCGTAGGTGTGGTTCTTACGTTTCTTTTTGTTTGGTTTGGAATCAGGGTTTTTGGCCAACTCCCCTAGGTGAACTACCAGTGGTCCACCAACCCGGTGATAGCCCCGGATATGGGCTTTTCTTCCCCTCACTTTGGTGGGAAAACACCGCCACGAGAAGGTACTGAGTAGGGCTTCCTCAGCAGAGGCTATCCGAGGGGCTTATTCAAATGGGAGCATTTCGCGAGGTGTAAGGGAAGGCTGACCAACCGCAACCCTAGACACTCACCGCCGACCATATCTGGTGGGGTCTCAGACCCCACGAGGTTCAAAAGCTATTCACCGATTTTTCGCTTTGTGGTTCAGGCTTTGTTCTCTCTGAGCGCCGCGAAATTCATCTTTGAATTGAATCGAATTCCTTACTTTTGTTATTTTTCAAGTGATCGGTTTCGAATTTTTCCAATTTAGGGTGAGGGCGAGATGGGCGAGGTTAGATGCTAACAATATATCGCAGAGATGGGGTAGGCCTTATCCTTTGGGGACAGGGAAAGGTTTAATGGGCTGCCTGATGAACAAGTGGACAGCGTATCCTTAATTTACTTTTAAGGTCCCGTATTTGATCCCCATTTGGATCAATGTACTCGCACGGTTGATGAGGTCAAACAAGGTTCAAACTTTTGGTTCACTATCCACCTGCACACGTACCATTTACCGAGAGTCCGCACGATAGCTAACCAACCGTTTTGTCTTTGTATTCACCCGTTTGTTCAGATTTGGAATGGAAGTTGGTGTACGTGAGCAGTGCCTACAATGCATCTCTGGATCAGACACTGGATTCCATTCTTGTGGGACCAGTTCCCGTTGGTAGACATCAATTCCTCTTTGAAGTAAGCATTTCCCTCTATGCTTGCCGTCCTTCCTGCTGGGCGACCGTTCGAGTTTTATTTGTCTGCCGAAGAGGGCAGTCTTAGCTTATTCATTTTCTAATAACGTCGTCACCAAAAGGTAAACTTGTTTTTGATTTTTTCATCGTCATGGCTAATCCAAAAGTTTTGCTTCACGGATCTAATAATGAGTTTTTTTACAGGCAGTTTGGTAAAAATAAGATGTCTAAAATATTTCCCCTAGTTGAATTGAAAAGATCGCAGAGCCTGGAGTCATCGGTAAGTTACTACGTACTACGTATGCTCACTAAAGTCAAGTCAAGAGTGCACTTTGTGGATGAAATAGAATGTATAAGACAAGCAACCGCATCTAAAGTAGAACGACGCCTACAATAAGCAAACTGATTGGAATCACGAAAATCAAGATTAGATGATAGGTGCCTAATAATAATACGCTCAAAAGTCTTAAGTAATACTGAAGATGCAGCAATAGGCCGAAACTTACCCTTTTCTTTCCTAGGTACTCGAGTGATGCGAACATCGCGCCACGTGTTAACTAGTCTTACTTCTGACGGACATGTCTTAAAGCTAAATGAAACGGCTTGTGCGAGGTGGTTTGCACATGCTTTAAGGACCACTGGGGATAACCCATCAGGACCAGCGGTTCTATTTCCATTGATAACATTTTACTCCCTTAAAACTTGCTCTGTTATGACAGACACGAAGGTGGAAATCAAGTGACGTTGTGTTTGGACTCGGTAAAGCTTGCACAACGTTTTTTCACTGAAGCAAAAGATTTGTTGAGCTCATTGATGTCACGTGAGACTGTATTAGTTGAAGTTGAACGACCGCAGAGCAACTTCAGTCCGTTCCATAACACGGTGTCAGCATGCAATTGATTGAGATGGACTATCTCGCTTCTGATGTGAAAGTTGACAGATTTGACCGTCAGTTTATCTCTCGAACGATGCGCCCTTTCTTTCAGCGTTCGTAACCGTTTCGGTCTATCGGAAATGAAGCGGTTGGGCTCTAGGTGAATCCTTTCCTGAGAGCAGCACACATCATAACAATAGCTGAGGTAATTGGCAAGATTCT